GTGGTATGCAGCAGAACACCTGAATGATGGGCCAATATTTTTCCATGTAAATGAGATGTGTTCTTTAATTTTCCATAGCTATGTGTTTTAATCGTCTTTCTAAAACAGGATTACAGGCTATATTTTAAATGTAGAAGGAAATTACATTTTCCTGGCTAACTCTCAAAGAGTTTTCACTGTTTCATCACACTACTTTATCTGGTTCTAACTTGAGTTTTCCTCAGGTGTCTGTTGCCAATCAATGTGCCCTCCAATTGTATACCCTTCCTTCTGATTGATTCCCTGCTATAATGTGGAAAATAATCAGGTGTCACAACTTGTTAGCCATTGTATGAAAACAAAATTAGCTATTGTGTGAAAACAAGAATGTATCTCTTATTTTAAACTTTTGACTTATGACTCACGCACCATACAATTCAATGTTTTAGCTACATTAAGGAGTTGTGAAATCATCCCCATGTTCCATTTCGGATCATTTTCTGCATGTATCTATTACCATAAGCTCCCTATTTCTCCCCAACCTCACAGGCATCATCTCAGAATTCAAAAGTCAGCTTCTAGAATAAAAGCCCTAGAAACAAAACACGTGGGGGAGGAAAAGATACTTTTATTTCTGCTCCAGTTACCTCATGGCTTGGGAAAGGGCAGTGTGGGCCGTCTTCTCTTAGCAATTTGATTGTAGAACCTGGAGCCCAGATAAAAACAGCCATGAAATTTTTAGTGAAGTTCATGAAGTTTATTTCAATTAAAAAAAAAGAAACTATTACCATCTGTGATATATATAGTCAGTGATATGAGGGAGTTTTAGTGGAGGCTTGATCCATGTGGGGATTCTACAAATGGATTTTGGGATTTCCCCGCCATCTATAGTCTTCTGCAAACCGGTAGTCAGATGTAAACTGTACAATTCTCTCCCCTGGTCTTGTTTTTGTTTTTTTGTTTTTAATTTACATTCCTTGGATCACCCAGGTGGGCGTGCTTCTTCCATGTGGACTTAGTTGACACTCACTTATATGGCTTCTTTAAGAACTGGACACTATTTTTTGGAAAGCTGGGCACCATGATTTCTTCACCATGTTTTGCATCTATGTTTCTTTAATAGTCTCTTCATGAGGAGAAGTAGCAAGCAGTGCCAAATCATAAGAACTAATTGTTCTTAAATTAGGGCTTATAATTACTGGTACATTTGTACTCAAAATCTATTCATATATTTAAGGTTTGTATATATCCCCAATCCACTTTAGAGACAGCATTATCAACTTCTTGAGAAATAATATAGGTAAACTGCAAGAAGCATGTAATATTAATATTATTAACCTAGGCAATATTATTAATAATCTAGGCAGTGATATAGAATTTGAAATATCAAGGAAAGCATGCATATATAGGAAAACTTACTACACTATAGATTAAAAACTTGAGTGAAACTGCTTAAGAAAATATTGGTTAGACACAAAAATTTCAGTAACGCTCATTCACTATGTTTTCAGAACTAAGACGTCACAAAAAGCAAAGAAAATATGAAAATAGCAAATATACATTGGTCTTAAGTTGTTGATTATTGGGCAAGGTTTTGAAAGCAATGGATTTGAATCCAAAGCCCAATGATTTCAAAATTTACAACATTGGAATAGCAGTCAGCTGTTTCTTCTTACTAGGGTGTTTCTTCTGTTTTAAGCCCAATTAAGCATTTCAGTTCCTTTAACCTGCATCCGATGCTTAAGAGGTTCACTTAGAAAGATTTCCAAATCAAATCTTTCTGATGTGGCCTATGAAGAATGCCACACTCCTTGAAAAGCAAAAATTCTAAGTCCAAATATAGCACAAGGCCTGGGTGGCCAAGGGCGGAAGGGGAATCAAGGTGGTTTTTTGTTTGTTTGTTTTTTAAAAACATGATTAGCAACATACTACTGGTGGACTCTCCCATTGGGGTCTATACAAGTCATGTTAAGTGGTTTCCCTCGGGACAGACTGCCCTGGATTAGTTTACCCACTAACAAGTGAAATCATCTCTGAGACAGACAAATTTCCTCCATCTCAGCACATAAATAGGAATGTATGCCTCTTGAGAGCTGGCACACCTACTTCACAGGCTTAATACTTGTGTTTAATGCATTTAGAGTTGGGAGCCCCAGAGCTTTGACCTTCCAGAAGTATAGTAGTAGTATTACTGTCTGTGAAGTGTGTTCAAGTGTATGTATGTATGTTTATACATTGTCTTTGAATCAGAATTTTATTCTGGTTTATCTGTCAGAGCTCTCTGATTTGATTGCAGAGGGCATTGGAAGCAGTGATGATGAAGCAGATTTTTTTGGTCAGGATATCAGGTTTGAAGTGGAACATCATACCCTTGGTAGAACCACTATTGTTTTGAGGACAGTGATTTTGCTTCACTTAATTTCCCCCTATAATCTAATGTTCTAGGTAAAAGCTGCTTGTTCTCCAGAATTTTGAACAGCTGGTTAACTTTAGAGACTTTTCATGGTATCAAAAATTGTTCCTTATTACCAAGGAGAGCACTTTGAAAATCCGTTTAGAGCATATGTTTCTAGAAACTACTTTTGCTTCCCCATGCCCCCACTCCCCAGCATGCTGCACTTAGGGCCACAGGATTTCACCGTGTTTCCATATCCCGCCATTTTCCTCAGGATTCAACTAGATATTCTACTCCATGCACCTTCTATTGTCTTCAACAGAAGAAGCATTTTAAGAAAAGAGGAAAGGGAATTAATGCATGCTTTTATCTGATTAAAAGGAGACACTTTATAATGTACTGTTTTCAGTGCATTTCCTTATGAGAATTAAACATTCACATCCCCTTGATTTTTCCAACAATCAGTAGGCAATAATATTGTGGGTTTTGTAGAGACTTGCAGCCTGGTCAGTCTCTTCGTATTGTCTTAAATTGAGGAGTGTAGAAGAAGCTTTTCTGAGTCTCTTACTCTGTGGCTTGTCTCCCAGGCGTCCAGCCAATACACAGAAATAGTTGGGGTGACAAGACTGCTCTGGGTAGTGAGAAGAGCCCTGACCTGGGACTGAGAAAACCCGAGCCTGAGCTCAGCTCACCCTATCATCTTCTTACCAACCAGGGGCAGGTGCTCTGCCTCCGGGCTTCACTCTTTCCATCTCTAACGGGAATCCAAATTCCAGCCCGTCTCTCTAGCACTGAGTCTAGTGCACAGCACAGAATAGGAAGTCAGAGGAGAGGAAGGGAGATGATTGAGTCACCTTGTCTGGAAAAGGCTTCATAGAAGAAGAGGGACTGGAATTGAGCCCTGAAAGGATTTGAAGAGGGAGCCAGGGGAAAGTGTCAGAGCATTGCACACCAATTGAAAGCAACATAAGAAAAAGGTAAGAAACAGCAAGAAAAAGAAGTGACATGGCCAAACAACCTGGCCCAAACCAAGAAGGTTGGCTCATGGTAGTGGGAAGTTCACGTGGCTAGATCCCTTCTGAGCATTCAGATGTGGAAGGGACCACAACTTATCTAGAAGGATAGAGCTGTTGTTGAAGGCCTTGAGCAGGATCCAAGGTCCCTAGTGCACCTGGTCAGTCGATAACTGGAGTTGGTAGGGTAGGCTGGAATTAAAAGAGCTTCGGTTTGACTTTGTGCTGTGCTTGAGATGGTAGAAATTTCAAGTGAAGCAAATAACCATGAATTTGTTTCAGGCCAGAACAGGTGAAGAGAAGACAAGAAATGAAGGTGCAGAAGGCACTGGCATAAGGTTTAATGGATACTCACTACCTCAGTGAGATAGATTTTGCTATCATAAATTATAGCATCACAGTTTTGAATCTTGATCTTTCCTTTTCCTATGGATAGTAACACTGACAAATGGATTACTGCTTGCAGAATTTAGAACTTTGAAAAACAATTTTCATAGTTTCTTTTGAAATTTGTCACCAGATCCTTTGGTGGGAGGACTGTTTTTTAATCCTCCAGACCAGGACCCACAAATGTATGGGCCAAATCTGGCCCACCATCGCAGCCTCACTCGTTCATTGATAGCTGTCTGTGCCTGCTTTGCACAGCAGAGTGAATGGTTGCAGAGAAACCAAGTATTATCAGGTTGATCTGGCTTGTTCTAGAGAAGTTTGAACCTTCATCAATACTGTCCCTATTTAGTTTATTTTCCTCTGCATTTCTGCTTCTACAAAACCACTTTTATGTACCTCTTTGTTTCATCTGAGTTCTGTTTTCAGCTTGTTCCCTAAAAGCTGTGACCCAGGCAGGTTTCTTAGTTCTCCAGAAAAGGAAACTGGGTTTCCTGGAGCAAGAGGCGGCAGCAGCCTTTTGGAAGTTGGGGTGATTATGCCACATCATTTCTTTCCTCCAACACAGTCAGTGGGAGTAGTTGTCATAGCTGCTAAAGTGTTTCAGCAACAAAATTATGAGTGAAGAGTCACAAAGATGTTAGAAGTCATATTTGAAGCAAGACTTAAAAATTGTATTTCCCTCCAGTAGAATATGTTTTTAATTTTAAGAAAATAAAAGTACAATAATCAAACATTACCAAAGAGCTCAAACTGTCTTATCACAATAGCACATGTGTTTAGATTAATCAAAATACAAGATGACTTATAAAACTGTATTAAAAATTGCAGCTCTTACAATGGATTCTTTCTTGGTTTTTGTAAAGCAGGAGGCCATGCAATTTAATACCCAAAAATGGTATTAAAGCATTTTATTGGGGGTGGGGTGAGGAAGGGAGGGGATAAAGGGGAGATCCTATTAAGGAGTTCAAGAAGAAAGCAAATGTTTTGTTGAAACTGATTGTGGTAGCAATTATACAATACTGCTTCATGTGATTGAACTATGGAATGTTAATCTGTAAGAGCTCCCAATAAAATGATTAAAAAAGAAATATTATGTTTTAATTGTTTTGTTTTTTCTTTCCTGTCCAATCTATGTAGATTTTACCTTTGCACTTTTTCTTGGTGAAAATTAATATGCTTTAAACATGTGTAACTGAAATTAATTTTACTTGCTTTTCATACAGGCATGGTTTGCAAAAGTTCTTTTCTTGTCGTGGAATCGCAATTGCGGTTGAATATTTTTGGAAGCTTGGCAACAGAAACATCACTGTATTTGTCCCTCAGTGGAGAACAAGGCGTGATCCTAATGTCACAGGTGAGGCCAACTGGCTTATCCAGATCTCTAATTAGATGTTTACTGAATTGGTTTATAATTGCAACACATAACACTTAGAATCCAGCCACGTACCAACATGCTTTAAAAAAAAAACTATTCTTAAGTCTCCCTGTGCTTTGATTTCTTTGATGTTTTTTCACCAGTATATTAAAGCTCATAGTTACTGTAATGCATCAATTGAAAAGAGACAGAGCATAAGAAATGCCTGGAGTAGAGTTGCAAAGTTGACGCAGAAAGTTAAATTGAAAGTCATTATACAGCTTAAAAGTTTTCCTTTTGACTGTTTTAAAAAGTGAATTGCACATGTTTAGATCGTGTTTTTTTTAAATGGTCACTTGATATCCTCAGGTAAATATCTTGTTACCTGTCGATTTGGTGGTCTGTTTGACAGCATGCACTGGATATTTGTTTCTTAGGTCATGAGAAGACTATGCCAGGCAGGTCAATTTGTTGGAGTGATTAGGAGATACCCAGCACACTAAACAGCAAATGAAGCTTAGTCGCTAATGAGGTATAAATGGTGAAGCTAAATTTTCCAAATTCATCCAAACACTGTAGAAGGGTATTTGTCCTAATACAAAGTACTTGAGAAATACAAAGTACGGACAGATCCACTCATTTACTGTAGTTATTTTTGCAACTGGATTTCTGAAACAGTCTTGCATTTCATATATTCTGTATAACACATCGCCATCTAGTTGATGCCGACTCATAACAATCCTATAGAACAGGATGGATTTCTGAGGCTACCAGGGCTCCCTATATTCTGTATAGCTCAGGGAAATAAAACACTGTATTTGAATATTTTTGCTTAGATCAGTAGTGAGTTCTGACGTAGGGAGTGCTGGTACAGGAATTATAGACCTTTAGCTTCTTTTTGCCCCTTACTGGTTTTCTTAAATGTGGTCTTGGCCTCTTTTTCTTCTCTAGCACTACTCACCTCCATGAAAATCAGTCAATATTTGTACAGATAAACTAACATGGGGTGGACAGCAAGTAAGCTGAAGGGAGATTTTTACACTCTTGGAATAAGGACTAAGGCAGCCTTTCTTGGAATGGGGCTTCAGCAGGTTGCTTCTCCCACCGCCTCGTTTCAGCTACTCTCTCCTGTTCCCACCCTGCCCTCTCTTTGTTCTCTACTTTGTTCTTTCTTAATAGGGCTTCGAAAGAGTTTTTGATGCTTGGGCTTATTAAATATAGGTCTATGGTTTTCTTAATTTAAGAAGGAAGTGAATTGAACCTACTTAGGTTTTTACAAATAGCCAAAATCATACATTGTATTTGCCTTAGTATGAGTCTTAATTCACACACACACACACACACACACACACACACTCCAGTGAGTTAGTAAAATTGAGTCTTCTCAAGTTGGTAGAGAAAAGGACTTCTCATATCTCACTAGGTCAGTCATTTGGGTGTACTTTCATTTAGTTAAATGTCTGGGGAATTAGCTTGATTTTGAATGTCTATTTCCTTATTCCATGAACAGAACAACACTTCTTAACCCAACTCCAGGAACTCGGAATATTATCTTTAACGCCTGCACGGATGGTCTTTGGAGAAAGAATTGCTTCACATGATGATAGGTATGAAAGGTTATTTCCTTTTTTAAGGTAGGTGTGGAGTGATACGGAGCCAACCAGTAGGCAGTTAATTGTTGAATATCTAAACCAACACTTTGGGGCAGGGGGTATGCTTTTAAAGGACTCACTGTTTCAAGGTTTGAGAATTTTAATTTTTAGATCATGAGGATTGTTCAACGATGGTATGAATTTAGGAACACCAAAAAACTGAGTTTTTGTATTTTAATAAAACATAGTCTAGAATCTATAAATAAATGCAGATACTATATCTTTCTCCTTTTTTTGTGCATGGGAAAAATAATACTTGTATTTTGGTCTATCTTGTCACCATGTTGCAATCTCAAGAGTGGTTTTCAGTCTCGTGCATAACCACCAATCATCTATCATTCGGGGCATGTGTGTTGCTGTGGTGCTGCACAACTCAGCCAAGGGAGTAAGATAAAGTTTATTCCTGGTCTGGGAACCCGTGCTAAATAAAATAAAGTTCATGGGTGGCAGGGGTGTGTGGAGTGGTTTTCAAGCTTTATCTACCTCCTGGTCTAGTGTTGGTCTGTGACTTAGTCTATTATTGAAAGGGTTGGGTGCTCAATGTTACCTCTGCATAATAGAAGATGAACTCAACCACCCCTGACATGGTAGGAGCAAGCTGCCTTTCTTAAGATTATGCCACTTATAAAGCAGGTGCTGGTGTATTTGAGAAAACAAGCTTTAGTCTCACTTACTTTTTTTTCTTTCTTCTTCTAAGTTTTAAAACCAAGTCCAAAGTGCAGAGCCAATTTCCAAGGACATAAGATGAAGGCATATGCCCTCCTTTAAGGAATGTATGCGCTAGAGGTGGGCACACAACTAAAAGAGGGGAGTGTTGTGATGGTTGAGTATAGACATTCTAGACCCCACTCATAGCACTAGGACCTATCATGAAATCTTCCAGTTGGGTGAAATCAAGAAGAGCAAGTCTCTTGACTTCTGGGAACATAAATGGTGACAGCTTATTCTGTCCCTCACCTTCATTTTCCGTTTACTATCATTTGGCCTTTTAAAAATAGTGTTTATTATCACAGGTCTTCTGGTGTTTTTGCGTCAATGTCCACCAAGTTCACCGCCACTAAGAGAAATCAGAGTATTTTGCTCATGACCCATGCTGTGAATGATAGTTGAATGGGTCAAAGATAACAGGGGTTGGGTGTGAGGAGAAACTTGAGATGGCAACAGACATTTACTCAACAAAGGGTCCAAAAGGCTTTCTTGTCTCAGCCCTTGCTCTTCTCTAGGCTGGTGTGAGACAAGATCTGATAGGGAGAGTCGGGGGGAAACATGAATAAGCACTGTGGGTAGAAGTGGAGAGAGAAGGGATCAGAAGGTACTGCGAGGCAGGGATAGGTAGGCACTTTGTGCTCCACAACCCTGATACCCTTAATAGGAACCCTTAGTGGTCAGCTGGAAAAGCAGCCTGGCTTCTGAGCTCATGAGAAACCACTGCAGCTTTGTTCTCATACAAGCAGAATTTGAATTCATAGGCACTTAGAAATTATTTGAAAAATGTTCATTAGTAAATGATTTGCAAGGTATACTGATAGCTAAAAGTAATGAAGTGTTTTTTAATCCCATCTTGAGTATTCATGATTGACAATAAAATACATTGCTTATGCTTCACTGATACTTTTAATTTATTGTTCTATTCTGTTTGTCTACATTGCCTTAAACAGATGGGGATAAAGCCCTTCTTGGCCCACACATTTCTCATTCATTAAAGGAGTTTGAACATGAGTAATTTCCAGCGGCAGAATAGGATTTCTCTTTAATGCCTATTTCTTGCCCTTTTCACCATGTATTTTTTTGTATAAATGTATTTAAATGACTCTTAAGTCAGATCAGAAAATGTGAACCTATGAATTTAAAGAAAGAAAAATAACAGTAAGGCTAATCTGCTAAGCAGTGTCTCTGAGACCCAAACTGGATAGAATCTCACAGCCCATCAGCGTTATTCTTTGGTCCAGATTGCAGCTATCATCTTATTACTACTATATTATTAATAATATATGTTTCTAGAAAAATGCATACCTTATAGCTGAGATCATCAAGGAAAATTAGATAAGTCTTCCTTTGATAGCCATACAAATAATTTCAGAGCTATTCAACATCTCTGATTGATTCTCAGTTGGCAGGCACATAACTTGTCTGCTCCCTAACAGTTAAATTCTTTGAGGCTTTTCTTGTGAAGAGGAAATCTTTATTTTCTTGTCACACAACTTCTTTAAGCTGGGGTCGTAACCTCTGTTTATATTACCATAGGTTCCTGCTACACTTAGCAGACAAAACTGGTGGCATAATTGTAACAAATGATAACTTCAGAGAATTTGTGACCGAGTCAGTCTCTTGGAGAGAAATTATTACAAAAAGGTAATATTTTCTTCTTTGTCTTTAGTGAAGAATGCTATGTTGTTGTTTATTTTCTGTTTACATTTTGTCCACCTTGGGCTTATAGTAAAGGGGGCTATATATTATCCTAAAAATTTGTTTCTGGGATGGCTGGCCCCTCTGAGGAAGTGGGAGAGCACAGCAGGAAGAAGGAAAGCCAGCAAGTGCTTTGTGAGCTTTTTAGATGTTGAGTTGTTTTCAGGTTTTTAAAACAGACACTAGACACACGGATATGTTCTGCTAACGTCAGGCTGTCTACAGATGCTAGTCCCTAAGCAATACAGACATTTAATGTATTCCGCTGTTAACCAACAGTTTGAAGGTTCAAATCCACCCAGATTCACCTTGGAGAAAGGCCTGAGGATATACTTATGAAAGATCAACCATTGAAAAACTGGAGCACATTTCCACTCTGACTTAAAAGATTAGTTGCTGCAGCCTTCCATGAACAAGGGCACATTTCTGTGACTCAGTTAACTCTCTTACGTGTGTAATGGAGCAGACCTCCATACAGAGCTCAGGTGAGGCTGACATTCCAGCAAGAGGATAGGACCCAATCAATATATGCTGATGAGTTCTACTTCTTGGAGGTTGGTTGTCTCTCTACTTTTTAATATTTGGTGCTTTTCTTTAGCTAGTTCTTCAGTGATTGAAAATACGTTTGGATAGCATGCAAAACAACAAAGAGTTTGGCATTCACGCGCTTTTTTTTTTTTTAACTTGTGATGATGCTGAAAACAGTATGGTTGTTAAATACTGGCTTTCAAGACTTTTTGTGAATAAGTATCTCCTGACTAGTTATTTAAAACAAAAAGCATTGGTCAGTAGTGGTGGTGGTGGTGGTGGTGGTCGGTGCCATCGAGTTGGTTCAGCTCATAGCAAACTCCTACGCAACAGGACAAAATGTATCTAAATCTTGTGCTGTTCACACAGTCACTGTAGCCAGTTGTTGCAGCCACTATCTCTTGTCGACAATTTCTCTTTTCCACTTCATTTCTCCTTTACCCGGCACTGTGCTCCTTTCTGATAACATATTTAAAGTATGTGACACAAAGTCTTGCCATCCCCTTTTCAATGGAGTATTCTGGCTGCACTTCTTTTGAAACAGATTTGTTTATTTTTTCTGACAGTCCATGCGTACCTAATATATCTTCTTTGGTCCCTCATTGTCCAGCTTTAACGTGCATATGGATCCAATTCAAGATACCATGACTTGCATCAGGCACACTGTGACTGTCAAAATGACTTAATTGCTTCTGAACACTTTATATAAAGAGATCTTCTGTGACAGACGTGCTCCCGTGCAGTAGTCATTTTATTTCTTGACAGCTGTTTCCATGGGTGTTCACATGGGATCCAAGTAGAACGAAATCCTTGACAGCAATCTTTTTCTTTGTTTATGATGATGCTGTGTATTAGTGTAGTTGTTAGAATTTTTGTTTTCTTTATGTAAAGATGTAATCCATATTGAAGACTTAATCTTGGATCTTTATCAGTAAGTACTTCCAGTTCTCTTTCAGCAAGAGTTCTGTCATTTGCATAGTCCAGGTTGTTAGTAAACCATCCTCTAATCCTGGTAGCACATTCTTCATGTAGTCCGTCTTCTTGGTTTAATTGCTCAGTAGAAAGATAAACGTGATTAAGAACCAAAGGAGAAGTTCAAGCTGCATTGCTGAAAAGACTCCAGAAATTGATGGAATATCAATTGAAAGGTTTCAACAAATTAGTACAGCATTGGGATACTCACAAGTCTATGCCAAGAAATGTGGGAGACAACTCCCTAGCCAGTCGACTAGAAGAAGCCCTTATCTGTACCCATTCCAAAGAAAAGTGACCTGACAGAATGCAGAAATTATCAAACAACACCATTGATAACACATACAAGTTATATTTTTCTGAAGATAATTTTAAAACAGCTATAGCTATATATCTGCATAGAACTGCCAGAACTTCAAGCGAGATTCAGAAGAGGATGTAGAATAAGGAATAACTTTGCTGCCATCAGACACATCTTGGCTGAAAGCAGAGAATACCAGAAAGATCCTTGCCTTTGTTTCATTGATTATGCAAAGTCATTTGACTATGAGGACCATGACAAATTATGGGTAACTGCGAAAAAAAAAGAATTCTAGGACATTTAAAGTGTGCCCATGTGAAACCTGTACAATTTGCTAAATTATTAGATTTTTCGGGTACAGTTTTCATCTATAAATACCCACATCACGTTTAATTACTATATACATTTTGATCAAATGCTTTTGAGAAGCTGAGGTTGATAATTAAACTGATAATTGGTGGTTTACTTTCTGAACATATTTAACCATTCATTGTCTTAGGATCGTGTGGTTGAGTGGCACACATGGTTCAGCTTAGACTACAACTGAAAGATTGGTGGTTCAAGCCCACATAGAGGCATCTTGGAAGGCAGGCCTTGGTAGTCTTCCTCTGAAAGATAATAGCCTTGAAAATGCTCTGCAGAAGTTCTCTGCATGTGTTCTACTGGGTTGCAACAGACTCGACAGCCACTATCAACCATCTTCTAGGACATATTTCTGTTCAGTGTTTAGTGGACATTATCACCTGTAGTATGCTGCATGGAGGATTTAAGTTCCACTACGCAGGGCAGTCAAACGAACTCAGGACTTGGAAATTCATAAAAGCAAATCAGAAGTGGAGGCCTCGGCAGCAATACAGGCGCATAGGCTATTTTTTTGTTTTTGCACTTTCTCCAGACTTGACGGATAATGCCGTATTCACTTACTGTATTATTATCCTTTTTGTAAAAGACTATCTTCAATGAGTTTGTTTACAGGCACGTTCATTACTGATTTCATCATAACAGCGCTTGTGTTCTTACAATCATTGTTGGGTTTTTTTTAAACCGAATGTGTAAAAGGCAGTGGAGGATAGTGAGAGCCCCAAATCTATCTGCAGAGTATCTAGACAGATTAAGCCTCTGACAGTTCCCTTCTGGCCACGTCAAGGGATGTGAACAGCTTTGCTGTGAAGAGATTCTTGTAAACTTGATTATCATGGATGGAACTACAGTGTAATATGATACTTGGTCAGATGACCTCCTCCTTGACCCAACCTGAATTTGCTCTAGATTTAAATATTTCTTGCTTGTGTCACGACAGAAATTTCTTCCCAGGCTTTTAAAAATATTGCTGATGGTCTTTTATTTCTTACTCTTTATATTATTATTTTCATTTTGTTTTATTCTGTTTTTGTTTTTCTGTTAGGTTTTCTAGTTTATGAAGCACAGAAAGAGTGACTGCATAGAGACAATAACTGATGCAATGGTTTAAGGGGCTGGGGAGAATTAAGGAGCAAATAATGGATATGGAAGGGAGGACAGAGCACTAGAATGGATTGTGATCATGTGTGTACAAATCTTTTAAAAAGCAACTTAGCTATGTGAATTTTTTATCAAAACTTTTTTAAATTCTTGGGTTTTTAAGTTGTAGTGAATGTTATATATAAAGAAAACTTTAACAAGAAAAATATCTGAAAAATGCTATAAGGCATGTGAGAGCCAGCCCATCTAGTTTCTTACTCTATTGTATTTGTGTCCATAAGAAAGAAAAACTTGAGGTTTTTCATTTGTTTTGTTTTTGCTCTTCAAACAAGTATACAGCCCCAGAAATTATAAGCAGACATTGCTTTGGGATTAGATACCTATTGTGAGACATTTTCTTCTCTGTTCATGTAGCAGTTGAGGACTCTACTTCTTCAGCACTGTAAATACTCTCTGTGTTGTAGGTTGCTTCAGTATACTTTTGTGGGGGACATATTTATGGTTCCTGATGATCCCCTGGGAAGAAATGGACCTCGATTAGAAGAATTTCTTCAGAAAGATGTCTTCCTTAGGTATTTCCTTTTTCAGATTGTATTTAAAGGTGTACTTTAATCAATTTGTTTGTACAAGGGGGCACTCAAAAAAACCTGGAACTTTTTTCAAAGCTATGTATGTAATTTTTTACAAAACAACCCTGTCACCTTCAAAGTACTCTCCATTACACTTAATACATTTGTCAAATCTGCAATTCCATTCTTTTTTTTTTTTTTTAGGATAACTGATTTTTTTTTTTTAATTACTTTTTTAAATTTGAAATACAAGATTGCTAGCAAGTGGTAAAAACTGAAAGTTATGGACTATGGAATCAGCCAGTACATCAAGTTTTACTTTGGAAGTCAGTGTTTCTTACAATTAATTCAGCAAAAAAAAAGTTACGCTTAACATCCAATGCCCCTTTCTGAACCAGATTTTCATCACACTGATTTCATGTCTGGCTTTTGATTACACTGTTTCAGTTCTCCCTGTGCAAAGTCATTAACATGTAGTCATCTCTGGCAGTTTGGTGAGCTGAAATCAATTTCTCCGCAGACATTATCACAGCATAACACCCCCAATATAAAAAAGGTTATTCAAGATTCACCGAGATAAAGCAGCACCTGGGACACAGCTAACCCACCCATGTGCATACTGCTTCTGTAACATTTTAAAACGTTAAAACTAAGTCAAAGACGGTGGAGAGACATCGTGCTCAGTGCCCGACTCCATGCAGTGCAGCCCGTGGCTCCCAGCAAGCTTTCCACCACAGAACCACGCGGCTCCTCATGACCGGGTGTCCAGCCTACGCACATCGGTCCGATCCCTTCACAAACATAAAGGTCTTCCTCAGGCCTTGCCAGGGCTTTGTGGTTTAGCACTCCACCAGGGAGAAGATCAGGTGTGACACATACTGACCACCCCTCTAAGCACTAGGCTTTTGCTACGTCACTACCAGCACCCTCAGAACGGCTCAATACGAGCTGGAGAGGGCGCCTGTGCAATTCCATTCTTGGAAACATTTTTCAAACTCATCTATTTGGATGGTTGACAGCACCTCCCTCATGTTTTTTCTTCACCTCTTCTATGTCTTCAAATTGCTGTCCTTTCATATTCCTCTTCATTCATGGAAACAAAAAGAAGTTGCATGGAGCAAGGTCAGGTGAGTACGGTGTGTAGGATAAGAAAGGCATGCTGTTTATTGCCAAACACTGGCAGCACTGAGATGGCTGCATGAACAGGTGCATTGTCATGGTGGCAAGACCAGTTCCCCATCTCCCACAAATCAGGTCTTTTTTGTCCCACACTGTCAGGCAATCTTTTCAGAACCTCTAAATACGAGAAAGCTTGATTAACAGTCTGACCTGGTGGAACAAACTCCAAATGCACTATGCCCCTCACATCAAAAAAGACAAATGAGCACCGTCTTGATCTTTGATTTCATTTGACGAGCTTTTTTGGGGAGAGATGTTGATGGCATCTTCCACTGGCTTGATTGATTTTTGCTTTTGGGGTCATAAGAATAGCACCATGTCTCGTCACCATTAATGACTTTGGGAAAACTATCAGGGTCACTTCAGAGCTGTTCTTTCAAAGCAAGGCATGTTTCCAGTTGACACTTTTTCTGGTCAATCAGAACCTAAGGCTCAAATTTCAAAACTGCCTTTCTCATTCCCAAATCTTGTTAAAATTTGCTGACTCAAGCTCCAAGACAGGTCAGAAAACTTCCCCATCTCTTCAGTGGCCCGTTGTCGGTCTTTGAACACTGGTACAGAAATTTTGTCAATATTTTCATCTGTTTGGGAAGTTGACAGATATCCAGAATGAGGTTTGTCATTCTGGTTTGTCGACTTTTCACCTTTTTTGAAATGAGAAAACCACTCGTACACTAGACTTTTCCCATAGCGCTGCCCTTGTAAGCTGTGTTCAACAACACAACAGTTTCTGCAGCATTATTCCCAAGCAGGAAACAAAATTTCATAGCCTCACACTGCTTTCTTAAATTGGCCATCATAAAAAACGAGATTTGAGTGAAACTGCTTTTACAAAAAAAATCCACTGTAGCCAGAGCGAACCTTCCCAGGTTACGTCACTCGGTGCACTAACTCAAGCCAGTTTGCCTGATGCTCACCTAATGTACGAAAGCTCCGCCAAGTGGAGCTTTTTTCTGTGTTTCTGAAAACTAAAAATGGCATTTTGTTTTATAAATGAAAAGCTTTAAAATAAGTAATGGTATAAAGTATATGAAAGCTAAGCAAGCAAGTCCTCCCAAAAGACCAAACTGCCAAGGTGGGTCCCTCTTCTTTAATTCTAAGAGAGGAGGGAATGGGCTGTTTCTTGTGCTCAAAGAGACAGCTTTTCAGACGGGTAGTCACTTAGCAAATGTCTCCTAGGCTTGTTAATGTGTGTGAATGTCATTTTTTGTTCATTGTCAAAAGGCATCTAATTGGAGTGTGCTATGTGTATATTTATTAATACTTTGGAGAACTGTTCATTTACTTTCACCATTGAACTGAGAAGGCATTATTGCTTATTTTCTGGAATTGATTGATAATTTAGGTTTTCTTTATTAGTTTGGAGGGTATTGTGTTCATCTTTTTCAATGTCTTATTTATAAAGGCACATTGCTAGTAATTGGTTCTATTTTCAGAATTCTCAGGTGACAGAAATAGTTACCTAAAATATCTTAGATACTTAATCAGCAAGTCATATAACCTAGTGAGAGGTCCTTTATCCCAAATCATGCTGAACTTTATTTACCAGCAAACATTTGCCTGGAGTGTTAAGGGGATATAGATTGAGAGGAAGACACACATTTGCAGCTCTTTAAGGCAGTGAAACGTTCTACCTAATCATGTCTGTCTGTAGCAGGGTCCTCTGAGAGTTGTAGGTATGAGTGCAGGAATGGGTTTTTTGCTCCAGAGGAATCTTCTGCAGAAGAGACAGTGTGATTTTGTTCCGTAGTCTTGGGACTCATTTCTCCTTCAAATCTGATTTGTCTTCTAGAGCTGAGGACTTCATTTCCAAAGGTCACCCTCCTCCATCCTCCCTGAATATGCCAGTCATCTTTAAACAACTGCTGGTTGTCTCATTTTTTTCCTTTCAAATATCTTTACTTAGGAGTCCTCTGATGAACTTTGACATCTGAGGCCTGCGTGTAAATATTAAGGCCTGTGTAAATATTAAGTGTGGATCAAACTTCACGGACCAACTTATAAAGAGCTGTCATTCCTTCTCATTATTACTCTAGAGTTGGTAACAGTTACTCCTTTGCAGTTCCTTCCCTAGGCATCCAATATCGGCACCTTACAGTTGTCTTGTGAGCAGATTTGGTAGAAGTCTTTCTCGTGCATCTTTATCACCCAACTTACCAGCACTCCCTTTGATTCACAGAGATATGCAGCCCCTACTCAATGCCCTGCCTAATGTAGGCATGTTTGACCCCAGCTTCAGAGTCCCTGGAGCCCCGGCAACCAGCACCAGCCACCAGCCTCCAGCTCGGATTCAGGGAGCCCTTCCAAGCCACTGGCTTCCTCAGCAGCCCCACTTTCCCCTCGGTCCCGGTATACAGCAGAATCTGCCCATGCCGACCCAGAGGTCATCTGCAGAGACCAGCGAGCTGAGGGACGCCCTTCTGAAGATCTTCCCTGATGCTGAGCAAAGACTGAAAATCGACCACATTTTGGCGGCGCACCCGTACATGAAAGACCTGAATGCACTCTCTGCCATGGTGCTGGATTGAAGGGGTGCTGTGCTGGTCTTGAGAAGTTAGCGCTCAGGGCTGGCGGGCCGACTCAGGCCACTGTCTGCACCTGATGAGGAGCACCGTAATGTGAAGATACCCATTTCCTGGTGTAAGTGCTGTTGAAGTATATAGAAAAAAGATCACGTATCAAAGAAACTGGGGTTTCAAAGCCAGCTGTTTTCTACACATAAATGATGCTGCTGTTACAGATTTACCATTTTCTGTAAAAGGAAAGTCTACATTTTCTGCCTGCTCAGAATTGTTTAATAGCAGTTTCTTCTCGAGTGTATTTTTATGTTTTTTAAACTATTTTCCTGAAAGCTGAAGATATTGACAAATGGGTAAGATTAGCCTTTCTAAATAAATATTTTTTAAAAAGTTTCTTTCTTAAGGAAAGACCTTTTAAAGTATATTTTCTTGCGATGATCTATCAGTCCATTAACATGAAGTGTGTGCCCCTCAGACCCTGACACCTGTGAGCAATTAGTCGGAGTTGGGTTGCCCTTAGGGGATTTTGCACTTGGGAGCCATTTATGAGAGTGAACCAGTATTGCCACTAGATGGCACCTTGTGCTTGTTCATTTTTAATGACCAGGGCAAAGGTTAGCTACAGAAAATCAGGGCTACGAGATATTTTAGCTCATCTAGCCCCCACCCCCACCCTCACTCAGCAGAAGAGGGAACTGAGGTCTGATGTATTCACCAGGCATGCCCAGGTCCACTGCTGTGGAGAGGCCCAGCTGGGCTGTACTCTCTGTCCAGTATGTGGATGCCCTTGCCAGGCCTGGTCCCTGACTTGGCCTGGAAGCAATGTTTTTGCGTAAGAAGGCAAGGTAGGGCACGAGGAACTTGTGAAGAGTTCCATTGTTGCGCCAGTGTCCACAGCCACGGGAAATGATGCCCTGATGTGGACTGAGTATAGCTTTGCCACACCCACCCCCTAACCCCCAAATCCCCAAGAACGACCAAGTCAATAAGTCACTCGGGGACTCTGGAGTCCTTGTATTTATTTTTTCCTTGTGTTTGTCTCACTAGTATCCTCCCTCCCAAGCAGCCCTTTCTTTGAGTTTTTCCCATATGTCTCTTGGGGCATGTTGTTCAACTCACCCAGCCTCAACTATTCACATGAAGAAGGTAGAAGACTTCCGTCAGCCAAGGAGGTGACTTCAGTCAATGTTCCCACCTCTTATTTGTGTCATATTTTCAAAGCACAGTGGAGGTGGAGCACAATAAATCTGTGCCCTTCCTGATCCAGTTTTCCCACAGCCTTGCCAATCCAGTATTTCTCCTGTTTCAAAGAAGAGACAACAGGAGTCTCACCTTGACTGCCAAAGTCTGAGGCCCAGGGCTGTCTAGAAGAGAGCTGAGCTTCTGTTGCCAGGTGAGGACTGATGAGGGGTGAGAAGTTTTTTTTTTGTTTTGTTTTAGCTCAACACCTTTGAATTATGTAGCTTTTGGGTTCTTAGTATGGTCTCTGGGCGATCTACCTACCTACTCCCTTCCTCGTTCTCTGGTGTGGGAAGGAATGATGCAGGAGAGCACGTGGGAGAAGTACAGAAAGCCCATTCTTATTTCAAATTATAATCGACGATCTTGTGTGTGATCAAATTTAGTCCATTTTAATACTTAAACCCCCTGTTAATCACGCCCTGAAAAAAATTTTATTGCCTGCTCTGAGCCTCCTTTGAACTGTAGGCTCAGTATTGAGACGAAATAATAATGTGTTTGTAGTATCAACAATGATGCTCCCTCATTTTGTATGTAATGAAACCATCCACCTTTGATGCATAGTGACTACCCACCCTGTATCTCATGGCCGCCTTGTGAAGCAGGTGCTAGGGAGAGGTGCCACCTTCATTCACTAGACAAGCTGCCATGCTCAGAGAGGTTCTCCAACTAAATAGCTGGTAGAGCTGAATGATTCCCAGGCCCCAGGCCGCCGCCTCCGAGAGACAGAGGCTTGTTCGACTGGGTGGTAGCTGAGCATTCCTAGGCAGGCTCAGCTGTAGCCTGACTGCTGCTGCTCTCGGAGAAAGAGGAGGCACCAGGCATATAAAAGAGGGCTCCACGGTGTCCATACAGACACTCAGTACCGACTATGGCCAAACCACAAAGTAGCTGCAGCTCTCAGTACCTGAAGATGAGCCAAGTCCCTTCTCACCTCAGACCCTAGCCAGCCTCCTGACACACCTTTGGGAGTTCTTCACACTCCCTCCTCACCCCCCTCCCCCTTGCCCTCCTGCACTTCCTTGTCAGTGCCCATCCTCTCCTGTGTCCCCGAGCCCATCTCTCAGCTCCTGGTAAGTGTGTTGTCAGCTCATCCCATTTCATCAGTATCTACCTCTTCATTATCCTGCCTTATATTTTCCAAGTCATTCGGATTTTTCAAAAACAAAACAAAATGAGCCAGGCTTGCATCTAATTTTTAAAAATAGTAATCCCTTCTCAAATGTGTGATGGACAGAAGCAAAGTACACTGTATCGGGGCTTTTGCCTAAAAATTTATATTTTGTTTTAAAATGTTTAATTACTTTAAATTTAGATACTTAGGAAAGACTTTTTGCTTGTGTTGTCTTCTGAAACAGGATGTACTCGCTGGTTGTAGGACCCATAATAAAATAGACTTTGACCTAAAAGAGATCTCACTGTGACCTTAAAGAGAAAAACACATATGCTGTCTCTCTAACAACAACAACAAAGCTTGATTTGCCCCGAAGAATCAGCTCTGTTCATTTTACCACTTCCCAGTTTACAGGCCTGACTGCCCCACCCTGAGGAAAGGTCACCAGTGTCAGGTCAGAGCCCCTTTCAGTATTCACATGCAGCAAGGACAGCATCTGACACCTCCCCTCAGTACTAGAGGTCCATCATGCCTTCCTTCTCCTCCCCCAACCAACCACAAACCCAGTCCTTGGCACCTTTTTCTGTCAGTCAGTCTACCTGTTGGACTCATGGTGGGTAGGGCGTTTTCCTAAAAAGCAGGCTTCCAAGAGATATTTCTATACAATTCCTTACCTGGAGATCTGCAACCTCAGTAAGTTCCTTGCAGTGGTGCAGGGGCCACGATATGAGAAAGTCTTCACTATCCTGTTTCCTAACTTTACTATCGCCCTTTGCAGTGACTACTGTGCTCATGCTAGCCCTGCCCTCCAGGAATGTTTTCCCAGCTCAAACTAGAAAGCCTGTGGAATCCGGGACTCAGTCCTCAGTCCTGGCCTGCACCTGTTCCTCCCTCCCTTTCCCGCCTACACAGTAAAGTCCCTTGCATCCTTCCTTGTCATACCAGTCATCAAAAGCATCCTTTTGAACATTAGTTGTCCTCTCAGTTCTCCCCACTCCACCCTAGACTCCACAATGCTGCCAGGTCTGCCTTCCAGAAACACATTTCTGGCCCAGTGAGCTGTGACTTGTTTAGCCAGCACATCAAGTTCAAGCTTCCATGAGTCTTGTGCCACGATAGTCTGCCTTCACGCCCATAAGGGACTGTCCACTTTGTATAGCTCTACCCAGTCACTGCAGTGCAGCCACAGATTTCCTCACAGTAGCCCTTTCTCTTGCAGAGACCCATCCCTGAGTCCTCTGTATCCTCGCCTGGTCCCTTTAACCTGAAGCAATCCGTGGTGTTCTGTGACCCCACAGCACATTGTGTCCCACTTTCAGCACAGGCCACCTGGGCTTCTGTCATTGCAGCTGATTGTGTTCTGTGTCTTACTTCTCTTTCTAGACTGTGAGCTCCTTGAGGGCAGGACCGTCTGTGATTGCTCTTTGTATTTCTCATGGCACCTAGCACAGTGCCTTGCACTTAATAGGTGCTCAATAAACATTTGTTCAATTGAACTCAAGCACAGCACTTTCTTGACTGCAGCTTCTGTTAGCCCTGCCCAGTAAGACCATCAGCAATCACATTTTCTGTCACTGTGCTCAGGGATCCCTTAACTCTGCTGTAGTAGACTTCAGGTGGGTGTCTGCCTCTCTCCATTCTCCTTTGTGAAAGGCTCCAACATATACCACCTGAGCCAAATGTTTTGAGGAAGAGGCCTTGGCTGCTGGCAAAGCCAATCACTGTACTTGGGCTTCCTGACCAGAGGTTGGTCAGGGCCGGACCCTTGGCCATAGCTGGGCCCATCAGAGTTGTTCCTTTGGGATTTTTTGTCCCTCTGGCTGTGGGAAATGTGGGCTGTCAAGCCCAGATCTGCTAGAAGCTGCTTCCTGCCCTGAATGGGAACTGGCCTGTGATAGAAAGCAGAAACATGAGAGATTGCTTTTGGTGGCATCTGAATTCTGGGTTCCTATTACGGAAGTTCAGTAGGTGGCACACTTCCCTTTCTGCTTCAGTGAGTTGGGAAAGAGCCCCAGTGAGACAGGCAAACCCACCAACCACCCATGGGAGAAAGAGGTGGTGGTCTGCTTCAGTAAACCACATGGGAGAGTACTCCCGTGAAATCAAGTCTTGGATAAAATGCATATTACTAAGGACTTTGAGATTATATGTATTCCATCTAATCTTTAGAAAGACCTCAGAGCCGTATGCAAGTGGAACTTCAGACGCGCTCATACCAGTCTGAATATAGCATAAGAATCTGAGAATTTCTAGTAACTTGGACCTTCTCTTCCCAGGCACCTCCAGTCAGCAGTTTCTTGCTGCTTTTTTTCCTTCCCAGCACCCCTGCTTCCTCTCAGGGTAAGGGTTTACATCCTCTCGGTTCCTAGGTGGACAAAGAACATCTCTAGCCATTTAGAACAGCAGTTCTCAACCTGTGGGTCATTTGGGGTCAAATGACCCTTTCACAGGGGTCGCCTTATTCATAACAGCAAAATTGTAGTTACGTAGTAGCAACAAAAAGAACTTTATGGTTGAGAGCACCACAACACGAGGAATTATATTAAAGGGTCGTGGCATTAGGAAGGTTCAGAACCACTGATTTAGAGTTTGACTTTCCCACGCACCTCAGTTTCCTCGTCTATGAAATAGGCACAACATAATATTGCTTCCTACTTGTGGATTGTTGAGTAGAATAAATATACTAATATCCAGAACAGATGCCTGCCTCAGCACTCTTCAGTCTGTTATTACTGTGACTGAGCTGCAGTCCAGGGGACACTTGTGGGACTACTTACCGCCCCTGACAGATCACACACATCTCTACTGGCCAGAGATCTCGTTCTTCAGCTTCTCCTCCCTGGTTTCCAAAAAGGAGACCAGACTCGGAAGTGGGCAGAGGTGTTGCTGCCATCAGGGAACGCAGGAAAGCTGATGTCAGCAGCCAATACAGAGCTTTCGCCATCTGTGTGCCAGGTGCGGTTTGTCTTAGTTGATTTACATGAGAGATCCACAAGGTAGGTACTGCCATGTTCCCCAATGAGGTTACAGAAACGCTATTAAGTGTGCAGTTTTCAGAGCAAATGGATTCAGGATCTGAGCTCTATAAGGCCATTCTATCCCAGAAAGCAAACACCCCCAACATGGGACGGTACCTGTGATAGGAACCCCGCTGAAAGGAATTTAGGCCCCTGGGCCTGCTGAGTAGAGGGAGGGTGTGGGAGGAAGCTGCCTCTGCCCCTGTTTCCTGTGTGGTAAGCCCACTTTCCAGCCCTGCCCTGTGGGAGGAGGCCTCGAACATTTGTTCAAGAGTAAAAACTGACCAGCACAGCTGAAACTCTGCCAGTAGTGAGACCCCCATCCCATCCAGACCAACCATTTCACGTAAGATGTACACATATCTCCACAGTGGCCCTCGAGCTGATTTCTGAAAACAAAGCAGACTACCCCCCCCCCCCCCCCCCCCCAGCTCAAGTTCCCATCCACAGCATTCAACTTGCCCAGGTTAGCCATAGTCATTCGGGGAGCCTGAGTCTCAGCAAGTCCAGGATTTGCCTAGAGAAACAGCAGAAATAAATCCTCACTGGGCTCCCAGTGCCCAGTGAGCATGGAGCTTCTGGAATGAGCCGCCTCCCACTCTTTACCACTTGGTGGCTTTACTCTGAGAGACTCAGGACTCTAAGCTATGAATTACAGCCTTTGGGCTTCTCTGATCTACGCCCAGTGTCAGAGCACTCGGCCCCATAGCTCGAAACTCAACCTGGGGTCAGGCCTGGGCAGGTCCTGGTTTCCCTGCCCCTCCCTGCTTCCAGGGAGAGGGAGGCCTTCACAGGGAAGAATGCTCTGTCTGCCTGCCTGTCTGGCTCCAGGATCAGTCTAAAGTTTCAGTCACCAAAAAAGGCAGTAGGAAGGAGAGGGCCTCCCACAGCTGGCCCCAGGAGCTGCAGACTATTCACTAATGTGATGTCCCTAAGCTAGTATCTCAGTGCCAGCAACTCCTCTCTGCTTTCCAGCCCCTCACGGTGGCACAGAACCTCCCCGCCCCTGTGGCCTGAGGTGGACTGGGTGCTCTGGAATGCCTGTGGATCCTGACGTCCAGTAGGGCAGTGGAGGTAGGTCTAGAGCCACAAATCCCCTTGTTTTCCTCTCGGTGCTCTTATTTTCTCCATCCCTCCTGACTCAGTGCTCCTGGGACAGCTCCCTTTTCCACTTGGGGCAGGGAAGACACGGCGATATATGGCAAGAGTCTGGGCCTGCTCTGACATGCCTTAACTTGGACCCTGAGAGAGAGACTCACCTTCACCAGGCCTCAATTTCCTCATCTCTGGCAGTCATGATCCTGCCCCAAGATCCAGTGATTTCAGTTGCCTGCCTTTGTATTAGCATCACTTGGAGAGGTTTTATACTATTGTCCAGGCGTACCAGACCCATGAGATCATTATCACTGGCCTCAAATCAGCTTTTGTACCACCCCTGGTGATGCACCCTGGGTGCACTCAAGGTTGAGAACCACTGCCCATCTCAGGGGTTATTGAAATTAGGATTAGATCCCAAAAAGGATCAGGTTCCTTCCCTGCCATCCCACTATTAGGAATGCTGCCTCAGTCCTAAACCTATAGTGTCCTTAGGGTACACATGTTTCCAAAAAGCATCTCTGCTCAAGGCTTTCTCTCACCTTTTTATACAGTGGGGACAGAAACCCAGCTCCCTCCTAGCTTCTTAATGGGTCTTGACTTGAGCTTCCTCTAATGTCTAATTCAACCTTCCCTGCCATTGAGACCATGATGACTCATAGCAATCCTACAGAGCAGGGTAGAACTCCCCCTGTGAGTTTCCGAGACTAACTTTATGAGAGTAGAAAGCCTCATCTTTTCCCTGAGGAGCTACTGGTTGTTTCAAACTGCTGACCTTGTGCTTTGCAGCCCAATGTGTAACTACTATTTCACCAGGGATCCTCTCTAATGACATCTAGGGATAATTAATGGAGGAGGCCAGCGAGGGAATGAACACCTATTGAGTCTTCAGGCTTTCTTCCCCCAAGCCACAGCCTTCTGGCCTCGCTCGCCATGCCCAACACAGACTGCAGGAACTCCCATAGCTGACTGAGGAGACGTCAACTGGAGAACTCTCAGAGGACTGCTGGCTGGGACTGCCCACCACCATGGGCCGGACTTGAATCCAGGTCTGACTTCAAAGTATGTCCTTTCTACTTTGACCACACTGCCTCTTCAGAAGTGATAGTTGCCTTTTCCGTGGAGTGAACGATCAGTTCTCTAACTCCTCTGTGCCTGTCACCCCAGATCATGACCCCTGGCATTTAGGGCCAGCAGAAGCATACAGATGATTCTGCAGGGGGTGGCCTATGGGGTCACTCCTGAGCTACCCACTGGTTTCTCCCACCCCAGAAATAGGCTCTGCAGAGGTAGATGTTTGTTGCGTGATGTTCCAGGATCAGGCTTTTACCTACCCCTAGGTTCATTGGAGTTAATATTCCCAGCCTAAACACCTAAACTTTGCACCCTCGTTACACTCTTACAAGGAGACCTTCTGTCTGCCAGCTGAAAGGACAGTGGTTCAAACCCACAGGAGAAAGATGTGACAGTCTGCTTTCCTAAACATTCACAGCTCTGGAAACCCAATGGAGAGGTTCTCCATCATCTCGTTGAGTTGCAACAAGTTGGAATCAACTAGACGGGAAGTGGAGTAGTCCTTTATGGAGAAGCACCAAAAAGACCCGAAAAGACCAAACTGATAAGGCCTGTGCCTGTGAGCCGGCCACGTGGAATGGCTTTAAGACAAAACTGGACGCTGCTCCTTCTCCAGGCCTTATCAGTTTGGTCTTTTTGGGTTGTCCCGTATGTACATCCTCAGGCCCAGCAAGAGCTACCTTCTCATTCTCTTCAGCAGCCCAGTGGGATGGGCAGGACCAATTGCCCACTTTACCAATGAGGAAACTGAACTTAGACTTGAACATGGGTCCCTGCACTATAAGACCAGCATCTTTTCCTCCATTAAATATTCTTGGAAGCCACAGCTGGGTGTGGCTGTTCATTCAAAGAGCTCAGTAAGCCTTTGTTCATACCTCAGGAGCCTAAGTTTCTGATAGGGTGGGCTGCTGTGAGAGACAATAACCAGGGTAACCAGAAAGGAACTGCGCTAAGGAAGGTAGGGGTATGGAGTATGCAAGTGTGAGGTGGGCTCGGGAGATGGAGCATGGGGTAACCAGGACCAATCTAGGCTCGGGCGGTGGGGACCATGAATGGGGGAGCCTTCCTGGCAGAAGAGAAAGCAAAGACTGAGGAAGGTCATAGTAAAGGAATTTCTTAGGAGCTCTCAAGTGTTTGCGGCTGGAAGAGCTTGATCCAATATGGCCATGTAGTCAGAGACTGAAACCTGTAGGACAGATGATCCCCTCAGGACCAGTGGTGAGAGTGGAGATACCAGGAGGGTGGAGGGAAGGTGAGGGAGAAAGGGAGAGCAGATTACAAGGATCTACATATAACCTCCTCCCTGGGGGACAGA